CACATGATGATAAGCCACATGATGATCAGCCACATAATTCAGCTATCATAGGTGGCCAGGTCGCCTCTAATAATAGCGAATAGCTCAGCGGGCTTTACCTGGTAAAATAAAATAAAATAGTTTACTTTTAGTTTGCTAAGGTCAGCACGACGCACCTATGAGGGGGTGGGTGGCCAGCACCACGCACGGTCGCCTTTGTCTCCCCAGTGCTGATGTTTTATGCACACCGCATCAGGTACATCGGCACTGATGTTGGCCGTGAGCGGGAATCGACGTTCGTAGCGCAGTGGGTTAACTGCTGCGCCACCGCTCCCCAAAGACAAAGATGCAAAAACACAGACACAAACGTCAACACACGCAGCGACACTCGCACACAAGGACACAAACACACATTGTATATTCCACCTCCTCACAGATACCGTTACCACCACCGCCATCATTACCACCATTGCCATCATTACGCACCTCCAATTAGCACGGTAGGCTACGTACGGTGCGAAAGAATGTCTACATGCCGTCATATATACTCCGGGAAGACACACAATCTAACTGGTATTGGCCACACATCCAAATGCTGCTAAATTCCCCGTAAATTACTAGGCTGGGATCACACACGGCAGCAGCAGAATCGCAACTCGACTTCAAAAACTCGGCAGGACACTCCCGAAAAAGTCTTGAGACTCAGGGAGGCTTTGTTCTGAGTAAACAAGCGGCATAATAAAAACAAGTCTAAATTTAAATACACAAAATTGATAAATGTGTGCTTACACGGTGGTATGTACTGCGTTGCTTCATAAACGTACATGTATTTTCGAGTAGATATTTCGTAAACTTATTTAGTAAGATTGCAGTTGGTAAACTTTTGAATCATTATGAAAAGTGTGAAGTTATTAACTACATGTTAGTGAATTTTGTTTAAGCAGTTGAGGACTCTAGAGACCAGGATAGCCCCATTTCCAAGGGTAACCTTGGGCCAGTACTTTCGTGGAGACAAATACATTACACAACAACAATAATAATAATATCATGTTACTGCCGTGGCAATCCAATGCTGGATGAAGGCCTCTCTCTCCCGCGTCCTGTCGGTCTTTCGGAGGGGAGCGGGGTGGGTGGTTGCTTGACCATTCTTCACCACGCTGGTCATTTCGGCTTGATGAAGTTTTGGCGGAAGAACGCGAGCAGGAGGAAGAGGAGTGGGTCAGCACTCACGCCCCACTGCATGGCGTTACCCACGGCAGGGACGCAAACTCGGGCGGCCTGGCTCGCTCTATAAAAATTGTGTTTCAGCAACACTGTGCCTTGATGCTGTTCACACGTGTTTCAGCAACACTTTGCCTTGATGCTGTTCACACACGCGCTAATTTGTATGTGGTTCAAACCCCAAATATAACCATATTAATTCACACGTAATATACGTCAGCCGATATGGTGACAACAATAGATTTATGTACTTATGTAATATATTGGAATAAAAACTATACAAACTTAATGTTTTTTTTCACTTAAAGAAGGACACATTGAATATTAAATCATGTTGACATGTCAGTCATTCTACAGATCCCAACCCGCACTGATCAGCATGGTGAAGTATGGTCAAATAACACCCAATACCGACGCAGCGGGGCCAGGGCCTTCAGCAGCGAATGGGCACATTCAACGATTGATGTACTTTTCCAGGTATAACCACACGTATGTGTACGTGTGATACTATAACATACACACATGTACACATACCATACTGTCGCGCATTATATACTGTATGTATAGACTGTCTTCACGATAGGAGCGCAAGTCAGACATCTCGCTACATTTACATTGGCAAAGACAAGTTATCGCAGGCCGACGATTCGCGCCATGGTCCTACTTCAGAGCAGAGCCAAATCGCCGTCTGTTGTGTATTATATCTAGGTGTGTGTGTGTATTTGCGCCTCCTTCTCTCTTTAAGTAATAATTCCGAGCGTGCGTTCTCTCCACGCATCTTTGCTCACTTGTTAGTTGTGGCATCGCTTGGCGGTAATTCACTCGCTAATGCTACGACACGCGATTCAGAAATTCACTTTTAGATGGAGAAACAAAAGATTTATGAAGGAACTAAATTACTTATATATAGGGGGGTTTTACGGAGTGAGAAACATTGGAAAAAATTTGTTATATTGTTTCATCCATCTTCCTGGTTCTTTCGGTAAAGTCACGTAGAAGGGACATAATAAAATAATAAAAATAAAACATAATAAAATAAAAGATGTTTTAAAATAAAACAAAATAAAATATTACGTTTTATTTTTATTCTTTTATTATTTCCCTTCTACGTGACTTTACCGAAAGAACCAAGAAGATGAATCCCTGCAGTCACGAAAGCTTTAAATCGAAATTGTCACTGGAAGGCCGAGTCAGCCTTGAAACAAAAAAATAAGCTTCTTAGCTCAGCGGGCTTTGCTCGGAAAGTGCAACTTCTTCTGGACTTCTGAAGGGATAGCGGGCCGATGGTCGAGAGTGATAACGGAGCGGCAGTCCAAGGGCATGGGACGCGTCCGAGAGAGCGACGACCAAAGCAGTTCGTGCTGCAGGCGCCGGGCGGATCGTTGTTCATGGCAGTGGCGGCTTGGGCAGGCCTTCATCCAGCGGTGGATTGAACATGACCGCCGCCGTTGCTGCTGCTGATGTTGGTTATCGAATTTTCAAATGTAACTACTTTTCCTTGATGATGCTGCTGCGTTGGCGGCGGTGCACTGGAGCTGTGCACTTTTAAATCGTCTCGATTGAAAACTAATTTCTTGAGAACTGTTTTTTTTGTGTTGCGTTTGTTCTCCTTCCCCCCGCACCTCCGATTAACACGGTACGAGATCATTTCAACATACATACAAGCACATTTAACCAACAAAACAACTCAACGCATTTGTCAATAATACCTCTCTGTGTGGTGCTTTAAAAGGCGAAACTAAATATATATGCGGCGTAGAGGGCAATGGTAATTACACTTCTTCATGGCTCAATGAAGAAGGGCCATTGCCCGAAACGTCGCCGATTATATACATTTCCTGTGATATCGACGGACGCGTTTAGTAATGTTTAGTTCCAGCGATAGACTCCGCTGCTCCTAGCGCGACTGTCTAAGCTCGAGCCACCTGGGTGTGTGGGGGACAGTTGTTACTCTGCACCTACTCCAGCAGCCATACGAGAGAATAACTAAAGAAGTTCAAGATTCCAATGGTGTAGTGACGCGCTCGTGGTGCCTACACGGTCGGCGCGTTACTCCGCTCGCTCGCTCCACAGTCTACGGCGCCAAAAGGGTCTGTACGTACGTATGTACACAGGGTGTTTCAAAACCAATGTGAACACTTCTGAGAATGTTGCAACAATAACCACGTGACATGTGCCGCTGCCTCCAGGCTCTGGAAATCACCTGGAGAAGATTCCAGGCGCTCGTGGACGACGATGGCGAACAAGTGGGAGACTCTTTGACTTTTTGAAGCGACTAACATACATTTGTTATCGTGTTACGCAGTGCATTGTCCGTTTTTTCCATTAAAAACGATAGTCCCATGTAAGTGTTAACATGTTTTTGAAGCACCCTGTATTTCCGTTGAACTTCTTTCGCACCGTATGTAGCCAACAGTGCTTATCGGAGGTGCGGGGGAATGCCAACAAACTGAACGCAAAAAGCCGTCCTAAATACATTAATTTTCAGTCTAGACGAATGAAAAGTGAAAGTGCATGGCTCCAATGGCTTCCTCATATCGGAAGGAAGAGCGTTCCAGTTTTCCGCATCTTGAACATCGCCACCATCAAGTATGTATGTATGTTGACCTTCTTTCGCACCGTACGTAGGCAACCGTGCTCATCGGAGGTGCGGGGTAAGGACAACACACTAAATGCAAAAAGCAAACCTAATGAAGAGTTTTCAATCTAGCTGTCTAAGTGTTTGCATAATTCATCGACTCCTAAAGCAAGTGCAGAACACTTGTTTGTCAATCTAGATGACTTAAAGTGCATAGCTCCAGTGGCGTCCTAATAACGGCAGGAAGAGAGCGTTCCAGACGGTCGCAGAAGCGCACCAGAAAGTGCCGCGCGATGCGGTGACCACCGCCTTTGTTCGCCAAAAAGCCCGAAGCAGCCGCGAGGATGAGCGAAGTTCGTGTCGTCGTTTATGCTCCATGCCGAGATCAGCGAGGTATTGTGGTTCATTTGTGGCAAGCACTTTGTTGTGCGTAATGAGCGCGAGCTTTTAATGTGTTCGTCTGCCAACCGGGGAGCCAATGCAGCTCGGCGAGCACTGTTACATCATAACAACATAGGCGTGTGGTACACAACACAATGCATGCTCTACTGTGGAGCGTCGCAGGTCGTAACCACGTATAAACAGCACTCCGCCGCCACGTACATCTGCATACAAAGCAATTATTGTTCGAGTACAAATTAAAGCCCATCGACCTATTTTTGCTTTCCGGACCGACGTTCGCCACGAGCAACGCGTTTTGAAGTCAGGAACCCTCTAAACCGGTTCTGGGTCCGTCTGATCAACAAGAGCAAAGCCTGTAAACCTCCAGCCACACGTTGTTGACGAGGCCTGCAAATATGCCGATGAGACCCCGAAAACAGGAACCGGCTCCCAGTTGTTGTTTTTTTTTATTTTGCTGTAAACAAATCAAATGCGCCACTGTACGGCGTGTAACGCGTTGTGCCTGAAGGCGCTGGAATTACATTTCCCCCGATATGAGTTCAATTCCCGGCCACGGCTCGGGTGGGCCAGTGGCGAGGGCATCGGTCCAAACCGACGCGGAGCTGCCTCTCTTTGCCCGAAACTTCGCCTATTATAGACAGTATTTATTGTTCTATTTAAGGCCACGGTGTTATTGACGAACCTGTTGACTTGCTGTGCCAACACAGCAGCAGCAGCATCATCATCATCATCACGAAATCGTGTGTCGAGCAAAATATACTTCACCACAGAGTGTTGCGTGTGTGTGTGTGTGATGTGGTTCCTTGTCGTCTGGACTCACCTGCCTCCCTCTGCCCCAGGTTCCTGCCGTCCGAGTCAGTGTGAGAATCACCGCAGACACTTCCCTTGCAGCAGCAGCAGCAGTGACGATGCTACCAGCAGTTGTACAAACAGTACAACAACAGCAGCAGGATTAGCAACAGCAGTGGTGCTAGCGACAGCGGCGCCTGCAAAGTCAGTAACAACAGCAGCAGCGGAGTAAGACGAGCAACAGCACTAGCAACGGTAGTAGTAGCAACACCAGTAGCAACAGCAGCAGTCGTAGTAGCAACAGTAGTGGCAGCTATAGAAAACAGCAGCAAGAGCAGCGGCAGTAGTAGCAGCAAGTCGTGGTTACAAGTCGGAGGCGGTGCCAGCGGTAACAGCAGCAGCAGCAGTTACATCGGTAGCGACAGCATTGGTAGCAACAGCAGTGTCAGGAGTGTACCACCTATCAGCAGCAGCGGCACTGGTAAACTCCGTAGCAGCAGTAGCAGCATTAGTACGAGTCGGAGCTGCAGTATGAGTAGCAGCAGCAGTATCAGTATCAACAGTAGTAGTAGCAGCAGTAGTTTGAGCAGTAGCAGCAGCAGCAGTATCAGAAGTATTACGAGGAGTATCAGAAGTAGTACGAGTAGCAGCAGTAGCAGCAGTAGCAGCAGTAACAGTAGCAGCAGTAACAGTAGCAGCGACTAAGCTCCACATTCCGTGGAGAGCGGCGAGAGGGCTCAGCAATTCCAAAACAATCGGAGGCGGCGTGGATTGAGAGCGAGCCCAGGGGGTGATGGTGGTGAAGGTGGCGGTGATGATCACTGGCGGAGCCAGTGGGGGGGGGTGGCACGTGCCCCCCCCCCAATGACCCGATCGAAATCCCTAATTTCGATCGAATCATTGGGATTTATTCGCAATAATTCGGCATTTTGCGACCCCCACTGCCACTGTGTAGCATATTATTATGTGCCAGGGACTCTACGAGATGATAGGACAATAGTCTGAGTCCACAATTGGCAATAAGTAACGGCAAAGCAGCTATAAGTGACTCACAGAATTGTGCGCAGTTGCGTATACAGTACACGACTTCCCGGAAGGCATCAATACCTTCAGCGAGCGCGATGCCGATCACACAACGCGGTTCGAATTCGACCCTCGATCGATGGCTGCGCCATCGCCGCACACGCGTCTAATAAAAGCAAGGGACAAGTCCTTACTAACAACTCCTTACTTATTACTAACAACTCCTCTATCATTTTTCATTGCTGGAGGGGTTGCCCCCCCCCCTACCTGAAAATCCTGGCTCCGCCATTGGTGATGATGATGATAGTGATGATGATGATAGTGAGGAGGGTAAGGAGTTTTGACTTAAAGCTTTCGTGACTGCATGAATTAAAATTCTTTGGGTCTTTCGGTAAAGTCACGTAGATAGGTTCAAAGACAATAACTTAAAAATAACAAAAAAACTACGACGTTTCGATTGCAACACAAGCGATCGTCATCGGGAAGAAAAAAAGAGGATGACGGTCACTTGTGTTGCGATCGAAACGTCGTAGTTTTTCGTTATTTTTTTGTTATTTTCTTTGAACCTATCTACGTGACTTTACCGAAAGACCCAAAGAATAGGTTAACGAGTGGTGGTGGTGACACTGGCCATGGCGAGGATGGTGATGGTAATAGTCTGCTTCACATTCTCACGCGTCCTCGTGGTGAGCGGAGTGAATTCCTGTGGTGCCTGTACAGTTCAAGAGTCCGCATGTTAAAGGTGCTGCTGCTACTGCTGATGGTGATGTTACAGCTGCTGCGAAGACTGATGATGATGCTGCTTCTACGTGTGTTGCTCTTACCGCTGATGTTGCTGCTGATGTTAATAATAATTATGATGATGTTGATTAAACATCAGTTGTTCTTACCGCAGCTGATGTGATGTTGCTGATGATAAAGAGGCGGCGATGTTCTCATGAAGCGAGGCCTGCCCAGAAGGGAGACCTGGAGAGGAGGGAACGGAGGAGCTGGGAGGAGGGAGACCCGGGAGGGGTGAGATGTGGGTGGAGGGTGACGTGGGTGAGGGGTTGGAAGCTTCCCACCCATGCAGTAAAGCAGCGACAGAGCAATCATGAGTCGAACCCGGGTAGGGAGCTGAGCGGCAGGGTGATGCAAGGTTAAAGTTCACGGAGCGGCAACGGTTCTAATGTGAACCAGTACCTCCTGGGAAATAGGTGGATGCGTGGGTGGGTAGGTGCGAGGTAGGGTCATCGGTGCGTGGCTGGGTGGGTGGGAGAAAGGATAGGTGACTGGCTGGGTGGCTAAGCGGGTGACTGGCTGGGTGGCTAAGTGGGTGACTGCCTGGGTTGGTGAGTGGTTGACTGGGCGAGTAACTGGGAGGGTAGGTGCGTGACTGGGTGGCAGCGATACTGGGTGGATGAGTAATTGGGTGTGTGACTGGGCAGGTGGTTAGGTGAGCAGATGGTTTACTAGATGGATGGATAGGTGGATGGGTAGATGGTTCACTCGTTTGGTGGGTTGATTGATAGGTGAGTGACTGGGTGGGTTGGTGGATTGGTAGGTGGATGACTGGGTGGGTAGGTGGTGTTACTGGCTTAGCTGGTGTGGGTGCAGGGATGTGGACGGTATGTGTCTTGGGGGAGGGGGCGTTTGGAACGAGGGGGGAGGATGATGATCAAGAGATTTAGTCGATTGGAATGCCCCCGGGTGGGGGCACGGGGGGTGGAGGGGGGGGCGATGGGGGGGCGGGGGCGATGGGGGGGGGGCGATGGGGGATGAGTGTCAACCCTCGCAGTTTAAAAACTCTCCACCCTTCATTCCCCCAGTGGGACCGACCTCCCGCATAGCAGATTTTCACCCTCCATCAATCAATCAATCAACCGACCAATCAATCAATCCATTAGCATATGCCCGCCGGTGCTTAACTGTTTAATTAGTTTACACTGGAGAATAGCAGATAGGCACACAAGTACACGTGGGAACGTGACACATCGCGCCTGGAGGTGGGGGGGGGGTTACTCATCCGAGTACAGAGTTCTCTCGCTCTATGCGGCGGTGGTAGTAGTAGATGCGTTAAAAAAAACACAAGAAAACGACGCGCATAGCGAAACAGCAAGAGGAGACAGCTGTCTGACAAGTAGTGAAAACAGTAACACACAGTACACACATACAGTACACACATACAGTATACACACACAGTACACACACAGTACACACACAGTGTTGTGTATCTCTGTGTGAATCTCTGTGTGCGAGACAGCTGCATTCCGAGTAGCGCACACAATACACACACAGTACACAGAGTACACACAAAGTATACACACACACAGTGCACACAGTACACACACACAGTACACACACACACTGTTGCCCCACGTCTGACGCCGTAGCCGCATCTGAGTGAATTCAAACCGCATGCTCTGTCGCGATGTTTCGGTATACACAACAGGTTAGCCGCGTGTGCGGCGCGACATCGCACCAAGCCGAGTCCGCGGAGAGCGATGGAACCCTGCATTAAACAGGCTCGGCACCTGCTTAGCTTCCCAAAGCGGGAGCAATCAGTGTAATGCAGTGGTTCTTTACATGGGGTGCGTGATGGTCTTTCTCGGGGAGCGAGACACGACCAGATTTTTTTTTTAGGTCTACAATCATCGAACACACAAATTAAGCACGGACACGTAAAGTACAACTACTTTGTTTCATAACACCTACGTATTTATTAACGTTATACATATATATTTTCAGCGAGTGAGAATCAATGGGAGTGCAGGGTTGCAGTTAAGGTTAAGAATCGCCGGTGTCATGGGCTCGCCACGCGATTCCACGGGCTGTCCGCGTAACGGGCTCATCGTTGTTGTGACGCGTTCGAGTTGATGTCGATTGAGATTTAATGATGGGCGCTTTCATTGCCTGCTGCGACGCGTGGGGAGCGCGGACGAAATGGAACGCGAGAGAGAAAACAAAAAAAACACTGAGAAAGTGCGGAAAGTTATTGGGAGATTCAGTAATGCATGGAGTTAGATTATAGAAAGACGGGAGGGGGGAGAAATTAATATCGTTTGTTAAAATGTTGAGCCAGCTTGTCAAGATTGGATAAAAAAGCTAGCCCGAGACAAACATTAAAAACTAACGATAACACATTTAAGAATCAAACAACAACTACAACAGCACAAACCAGCTTCTCTATATATAAATACCTTAATCTACACGTCTCAAAACACTCTAGTGTACTTCCCGACAAGATATAAATCTTCAATTTTGTACATAGGTAGATTTTAGGACGCGAACAACAGGGAACATCTGAAGGTCCCAGATTTTTCATTTGAAGACCCCCACATCTCGATTTTAAGTGCCCCATGAACATGTTTGTGCGTTTTGATTTAAAGCTTTCGTGACTGCAGTAATTCATATTCTTAGTTTTTTCGGTAAAGTCACGTTGAAGAGAAACAACAAAATAATAAAATATATATAAAACAATAAAAAAATTCTCACGACGTTTCGACCATAACTCAAACGGTCGTCTTCAGGTGTGTTGGTTCGCATAAATTTATTTTTAAACGGCGCAGACAGCATACATTATAAAAAAAAAAATTCGTCTCCCCCCTCCTCTTTTCAGAATATAGATGGACTAGTCCTGGGTAAACTGCCAAATCGTTGCGCGTGGCGCTAACGTTTTTTTTATAAATAAATAAATGCGCCGTTTAAAAATAAATTTATGCGAACCAACACACCTGAAGACGACCGTTTGAGTTATGGTCGAAACGTCGTGAGAATTTTTTTATTGTTTTATATATTTTATTATTTTGTTGTTTCTCTTCAACGTGACTTCACCGAAAAAAACTAAGAATATGTTTGTGCGTGTCATTCAGAAGCCGTTCAAAATATTATATTGCGGGTATTTTTCGTTTGACAGTGTTAAACAGCAAATAAAATTAAAGCGAGAACCATTGTTCGATCTTGTATTGTTTTTGAGATATTTCGGATTAAAGCGGTTTTTTAACAAAACAAATATACGTATTTTATGATGTTCAAATCTGAATAATTCGAAAACAGTAAAAGATAGGAGTTTCCCCTCAGAGTATTGAGTTAATTATATTTGGTTCTTTTTAATAAAAAATAAGAACGGAATCTTTAAATCGAGCGATTTTCGTTGGGTACGTTTTTAAATATAAGAAGTTGAATCAACTTCTTTGGTTCTTTCGGTAAAGTCACGTAGAATGATAATAAAATAACACTCCAGCGCTGTCCTACCAGACAGTCTCGCCCCCTTCACCTGATGAAGGCCGCTTGTGTTGTGGCCGAAACGTCGTGAGAATATTATTGTGTTATTTTATTTTATCAATTTATTATTTTATTATCATTCTACGTGACTTTACCGAAAGAACCAAAGAAGATGAATCATTGCAGTCACGAAAGCTTTAAATCGAAATTTAAGTTGAATCAAGTCGTCAAAAATGTTTGTGTTTTTTTTGCGGGAAAAATACAACTCTTTTGGAGTATAGTCGATAGTGTCTGTTAGTACGTAAAAATTGTAAAAAAAAAATCATAACAAGTTAATTATTATATTTATTGAAAACTTTTGGCCTGGTGAAGACAGGCTTCATGAACTAGTTAAAAAAAATAATACCAGATCAACAAATACAAAGGAGACGTCACAGCGATATAACGCCGCTGCTCCTGCATCGGTTGTCTGGGCTTGACCACTTGAATGTGAAGTCGTCGCTCTGGCTCTACATCAGCCGTACAAACAAAACAACAAGATTAAAAATAAAGATTAAAATTTTCATTTTTCTTCAAACGTAAACAAAAAAAATCTCACAAATGGTTCCTTTAACTTATCCGAGACGCTGTTCCACTGCCCAACCAGTCTGAGAGAACAAGGCGAAACTATTTTTATTTTTTATTTTACGAAGTGAGGTCCAACTGAGCTATCTCGCTCGTTTTTTTAGAAGGGACCTGGTCATCACAAATGATAACACGACGAAGTGGCTTATCAGCTGGAAATGTATAGCAGTCGAATACTCCAAACGCGTGATGTTGACTCTAAATGTGGAGGGGAAAACCGCAGGACCCGGAGAAAAATCCGCACGACCACGGGTGAGAGAGACACGCAAACTCCAAATAAACAGCAGGCGTTAGGGTCGGGATCGAACCCACGACCTCCTGTGCACCACGCGAGGTAGTTAACATCTCATAGCCACCGTGATGATGATGGAAGAGAGAAGCGCAAACTCCAAATAAACAGCAGGCGTCAGGGTCGGGATCGAACCCACGACCTTCTGTGCACCACGCGAGGTAGTTAACATCTCATAGCCACCGTGATGATGATGATGAGAGAGAGACACGCAAACTCCAAATAAACAACAGGCGGTCAGGGTCGGGATCGAACCCACGACCTCCTGTGCACCACGCGAGGTAGTAAACATCTCATAGCCACCGTGATGATGATGAGAGAGAGAGACACGCAAACTCTAAATAAACAACAGGCGGTCAGGGTCGGGATCGAACCCACGACCTCCTGTGCACCACGCGAGGTAGTTAACATCTCATAGCCACCGTGATGATGATGATGATGAGAGAGAGAGACACGCAAACTCCAAATAAACAACAGGCGGTCAGGGTCGGGATCGAACCCACGACCTCCTGTGCACCACGCGAGGTAGTTAACATCTCATAGCCACCGTGGCGCCCATTTACGACGGGAGAGAGACGGTGCTGGCGAGAGTGAGCGCGGGGCAGGAGACGTCGCGGCGACACGGGGCGGTGTGCGGGTTACGTGGTCGAGACAAGTGGCGGAGTGGCAGTCAAAGGAGATGAGAGGGCGGCCGAGGGGGGGGGGGGGAATTCGCCCGGGAGGACGTCCATCAACGGAGACGGAGCGATGGTGAGCTCGGCCTACGCGTTGCAGGTATCGTTAGGCGCACCGTGGCAGTGGGCAAGCGAGGCGATGTGTGGAGTCCTTCGTCCAGCAGTGAATAGATCATGTATAACGACGTTTTCGTTTCAGGTTGTTGATATTGTGTGTGTTGTGGTTGTTGTTGCTGTTGCTGCTGGTGTTTAAATACCACAAGGAGCAGATGATATCGACCTCGGTTTAATATCTGGTGTTGGGTTGCTCCTCTTGTCTGTTGAAGTGGTCGTTTAGTGACGCGGCCGAGAAGTGATTCCCACGTGTGTGAGGAGTACACGTGTGTGTGTCTGTATGTGTGTATGTATGTATGTGGATGTGTGTTGGGGGAGCGATAGTGTAGAGGTTAGCGCGCTGCACTATGAACCTGGCGACCAGGGTTCGAATCCCGTTAACGGACAACACCAGTGACGATTATCTGAACCGGTCCCGGGCCTCCCCTAGGTCGACTCAGCCTCAAATGAATACCTGGTGCGGTGTGTAAACATTGCCACTAGGGAGGCAAAGGCGGTCGGGCGTGGTGCTGGCCACCCACCCCCTCGTGTACTGTTCCCGCCTTCATAGGTGCTCGCTAACAACACTTGTGTGTGTTGGTATGTGTGTGTTGGTATGTGTGTGTTGGTATGTGTGTGTTGGTATGTGTGTGTTGGTATGTGTGTGTTGGTATGTGTG